ATCAGCAGACAACATGAATTTAGTTTGGAAGTTGACTATGACAAATTTATTGGTATTTTAGCATTCTGTTGAGTGCTTTGGAAAGAGGATATCAGATGTATGTCATATACACGAACTTTTTTTAAGGCGTTTGACAGAGAACTACATCTAAATGGAAAATATGGGTCTTTTTGGCTTTTCCAATCCTATGGTTATCTGGTTTGCTAGTTTCTTATTGGGCAGAACTCAACAGGTTCGGATAGGTGATGTTATGTCACATTGTGTGAATATATCACAGCCTGACAATTGTACATCAATACTTTTTAACACTTTTAGTAACGATATTGTTTTATATTTCAAAAATAGTGTCTGTCTTTCATTTGTTGAGAAATTGATTTAATTGAAATTGTTTATGGAAAATTCTTTTAAAGATGACCATATTTATTCTGTCACAGAATTACAAACCAATTTGATTGTGTGATGTGTAAAATTCAAGACCAAGAGTTAGGCAGAACATCAGTAATAATGATTACAACTTCGAAGTAGTAAATGAGTTTAAATACCGGGGGCGATAATCACAGCTGACAACCACATAGAAAAAGAGGTCTCAGCAAGGATAGCTGCGGGAAATAGAGCATTATACTCCCTTTCAACATTATTAAAATTGAAGCTGCTAAAAAGAAAATCTAAATTAACACTGAACAAATCGATTATTCGCCCAATTATTACATATGGCAGTGAAACATGGATTCTCAACCAGCAAGAAATCAAAAAGCTTCTAGTATTTGAAAGAAAGGTTCTCAGAATAATATTTGGTCCCCAAAGAGAAGAATTCACGATCAGAGGATGACAGAGTGTTAAAGACAGTGTTTTTTGAAAGACCAGATGGTAGAACATGTAGGCCGACCGAGAAAAAACTGGAAGGATGATGTTGAAGCCGATTTATCTAGAATTGGGGTACCACAATGGGAAATAGAAGCCCAAGATCGTAGAGGATGGATGGCGATAGTGGATGTGGTGAAGACTCACCCCAAGTTGTAAAGACAGTAAAGAAGAAGAAGATGTGTAAAATATAACTTGTTTCAGAATGTAGCTAAATGTATTTATACGAGCTTTTATAAATAAAATAAAAAAATGATGTATTTGTACAAGCTAATATAAATGAAATAAACAGTGAAGTCAGAGTATGTTATCAGTAGTAACATACAGTGATGTAATTAAAGATCTAGGCGTTTATTTGGATGAAGAATTAACTTTGAAAACACATATAAAAGAAATTATACTTCATGCTCTTAAGGTTCTTGCCATTACCATTTCATAATACTAATACTGTATTATATATGCATGGATAGAACATTAAGAGTGGTGAATAGTAGCGACATTGAAATTTTGGCATTTATGTCAAAATTTAAGAGGCCAATTAGAGAACAAGTTTGAAACAATGTAATGAAAATTATTACATATTTTTTACGTTGATAGTTGTAAGGACAAATATTGTATTACTGTTATAAAATAGGGGACACCAAGATACATCTCCTATAAGAAACTGACCACACAGATGTGACCAACACCACAAAATTATCAAAATATGCTGAATGACAAGACTGAGATCTAAGAAGATGGCTAATAATTGTATTAGCAATGTTATGAGAACTATGGCATAGATGAAATTAAAACTCACAGGATTTGTATCACCTGTATTGAGAAATAATGACATACTTTTGGTATAACTATTGACCTATGTGCTGCATATATTAAGTACATGAGTTTTGAGGATCAATAAAGTCATTTGTATGGCTGAAATTTTGCCACACTGGCAAAAGTGTCCAAACCCTGATGACTATTTAATAAAAAATGTTTAAAAATTCACACTGTGTATATCATACATTTGTTTGTGAAACACATTGTTGTCCTAAGAACAATTATTCACGTTGTTAAAATATACTCACTTACATTTTAAATTAAATCAGTCTTTAAATACAATTGAATAGAAAAAAGGTTTATTAATATTAATCTCAGTAAATAAGAAATAATTTAAGTACCTTAAATAAATAACCTACAGACTAGAAATTTTTAATTAAATTATGTATTTCTGAAATTGAAGTGGAAACCACCATTGAAATTGTTTGATTTGTTTTTAAAAGGTGATTTAAAACAAAAATTTTTCCTACTCTAAAAATCAGTAAGTATATAGCAATATGAGAAAAGTTTTAAATGATATGTTCATTTAGGTACCAAAGTTACAACATGTAAGTAATATGGCTAGAAGAACTAGAACAATAAAGCCAGTCTACTTGAATGTAAATATATGAAGGAAACAACAGGATGATAATGTGACTAAATCAAAAACATACAATCCCTTAGGCAGTAATAAAATAAGTTACACTCACCCAATATACTAACTTGTAATATAATAGTGTTTCATTTTTAGCATTGACAGAATTGATTGGTAGTAAGTATAGCAGGGTAAATGGCAGGCCTACAATACACAAGGATGATAAAAGGGCCAATTATATGCTTCAAATGTACATTACTACTCTAGATTTACTCAAGACATCATTCAGGCTGAGTTTGTTGAAGGACTGGAACATTTTTAAAAATATTTTCAAGATGATAGTCAATCATGCCATCTTTAAACTACCAGCTCCCTCTATAATTAGTTAATAAAAGAATATTACCTATAAAAAACAGGATTTATAAAATACAGGCCTTGGAAAATACAAACATACAAATGATGCAATTTGCATGAGGATATTATCAAATAGGATATGACTATGATGCTGATATGCATATAACTTTTTTATATTATAAGTAGGTAAATATACATTAAATCCCTAAACAGGGATAAACTTAATATTAAAAAAGCAAAATCAAACTAAAAAATATTGGAGAATTAATAAGTACAGAAAATCCATAGAATATATTCATAATCAGTGATATAATAAAAAATAAGGAGAAAAAGGCTGTAGAGAAAGCTGCCCCTAATTTATTGATTGATGTGTAATATGGAAAACAATAAAAAGAGCACAAAGCCTAAAGACTGGGAAGAGTATTTCAAACAGGAAACCAAAACCACGATAAAATTGCAATAGTAGGCTCGCCAATGAGATTAACAGAAGAAATTAAAAATATATGTATATACATATAAATAGGAAAAGAGTATGGGGACCAGGGGATATGCTGGAGAATTGTTTAAGTATGGAACAAAGAAATTCAGTATACGAACATATTCAGCAATTATTTCAAGAATGCATAAAGGCAAGCGATATCTCATAAAGAATGAAAAACATTATACCTCAATACTAAACATAAAAAGTGTGACATAAACAATTGTGAAAATTCCTGAGCTATAGCTGTAACCAGATGTATAAGTAGAATATAAGAGAAGGTTGTGAAGAATTGAATCAAGACAGAATATTTACATTCTGATGCATAACAAGAAACAGGATTTTATACAATACAATCCACTATTTACCACATTTTCTCCTTAACCGAAGACGATAGAAAAAAAAGGTGGAAAATCAAGAAATTCATAATATATTGTTTTGTCAACTGAAGGAAAGCCTCCGATAGTGGCCACTAAAGAATCTGTAGCAACAAAGGGAAAGTATGAATATTAATATAGAATTAATGAAAGCTATCAAAGTACTATACAATCAACCCACAAAAAATAAAAACAGGAACTCATAATAAGCCATAATTTTACTTTAAAATAACTTATTTTAATGTGAAATTGTAACTAATTCCCAATAAAAATAGTAAAATAGCTTCAGAACAATAACAACAGGGTTTGTACCATCAAGATTGAAGAATATCATATATTTTGATATATAAGCTCAACTTTGTATATTGTCAAGTAATATTGGCTTAAGACTACTACTACTCAAACTATGTGGTATGAAATTTAATCAAGGAGTACAATTTTTGGGGTCTGGAAACAAATACAAAGAAAACTCAATGATTGTTTATTGAGGGACATGAAAAATCTCATATTAGATGGGAGAATGATGCCAAAGCACTGCTATTACTACAAATATCTAGCTATCAATATTTCACACAATGGAACATTAGAAAAAGCCATTAGAGAAAAGGAAAATGCCAGGTAGAAAAACCATTACAAGTTTAAATAGTATTTTATGCAACCAATTGATCAGCAAACACAATAAAAAGAGGATATATGAGACTATAATGAAAAGTATCACTTTATACAGCTGTGAAGAATGGCCACTGACAGAAAGAAAGAACATTAACAATCTTAAAAACAAAGTATGGGATGAAGAAATCAGAAATATAAGTATGTAAATTGCATCGCTGAGGGAAAAATGATGTTTCTAGTACCAGCATCTAAAAATAATGAATAGTAACAGATTGGTAAAATTGGTCTAATCTAATGGCTATAAACACTGTTAAAATATTGTCCCAAGAGGTACAGGTAGCAATATATGTGCAAGATAGTATACTGTCTAAAAGGAAAAGAAGAAAAATCAATAAGTAATTAATACATTCAGTAAGAATTCAATAGTTAAAAAAATATAAGGATACTACATCATATATGAAAGCAATAAGTGGATTCTTATGATAATCTGAACTGAGATTTAAAAAACCAACAATCCAAACAGCAATATGTGGGGTCAAACTAACAAAAATATTGAATTTCAAATGAAAGAGACAAATGAATCCAGGAGAATAAGCAATTCCCGCAGTTCAACTTCCAGAATAGACAAAACTAACAAAATTGAGAAAAAACTATTTTGTATGTTTTATTTAAACCACAGGATTTGTTTTAAACAATCAGAAATTTGCTTGATTTCATTAATTATTAATATATATTTACAAGTATAATATCAATAATATTAAAGTACTCAAAAAGATTTTAAATCAAAACATTTTCAACGGATTTAGAGAATATTCTTGTACAATATAAAATGATTATTAAAAAAAATAATTACCATATTTATATATGTAATAAATACAAAAAAAAAAACCATCTAATATATTTAAAAACTTCAATACTTCATATTTTTATGTACACAATAAACCATAATTATAATTTTTAATTACAAAATGTTAAGAAAAGATCACTTCAAAAGTTAGAGTCAACACTACAAGTAAATTCAGAAAATTCAATACTTAACCATCCTATGCAAATGCAGTAGTGCTGAAAGAGTTGAATCAGCAATTCTTGTTCATCCAAAAACTCAATTTTTTCAATTCTGTGCCTCTCAGTTTCAGTGAAGGCATAGTAGACTTGTACCATGTCCCATCCTGTGGATCCCATCCAGCCATTGTTGAGGAATCTGGCTTTCTGCATATCCAGATTTTTGCAGTGGGCAATACCAGCCAAGTTGCAACCTCTTGCTCGTAAATTGCCCAACATGACTTCTCCGAATGTATCATTCATATTACACATTTCATAGTTTACAAAAAGTCCTGATTTAAATTTTGAAGATATCCACTTTAACAACCTATTAACACATTCGTTTTCAATGTAGACTAAAACACATTCAGCAAGAAAGAGAGTGGGTCGCTCAAAATTAACTTCAGCCTGTTGAATCTTGGTTTCAAGCTGAGCTATATTTCTTATATCTGCACCAATACAGTGATAGTTACCAGCGTGTAAATCGGTTTGACTCAACTTAATTTCTCCGTCTTGGTTATGTATTCTATCCAATAAAGGTTTGTTTCGTTTGATCATATAACACTTTCTAGAAGTTACTGATGGAAAGTCTATTTCTACATAATTAGCAATTTGTACACCTTCGTCTTTTAATTTCCAGTATAAAGTGTCAAAACCTGATCCAAAATTAATTATTTGTGCCGAGCTACCAGCTTTATTAATGAACTTTTGTATGAAATTTTCAATACCTTTGACGCGAGCATAGTAGCCTCTATTGATTTCTGGGGCTCTCTTTTCTACGTTCTTTACAAAATATGAAATATAATCGTCAGTCCAGTAACCTAAAAGTACAGCGCCCCTTTTACATTCGCTGGCATCGTCGTTCGTTGCCATAACAGGTTCGTCTCCCATTTTGGAAATTCTTAATAACTGAAACAAAAGTTTGAGGTTAGACCTTTGTCAACAAAAGAGGCAATGGTAAATGACATGTGCAGTAACGCGCATACTTCCTCGGAACAAAAATGACAGAACGAATATTGCCGACTTGCCAATTCTTTCGCATTCAATAGTTTTTAAATTACCTGGCATAAAAGATATTAATAAAATATGATTAGTAGAGTGGAAATTAACTTTAAAAGATTTAGAAACTATACCGAAAACTTATGCATTATTAACTTTTTAAATATGAAATATATATCTAAAATAAAAAACTACAGTTTCCCAATTATTGTTACATCCTTGTAGAAAACTTTGTAATAACGTAAAAAATATAACTATTCTACTATTTTAATATGTAGAAATTACAATAAATATCAACTTCGGTTAACTAGTTATCTATAACGATAGAATTTATTTATTACCAGGTATATTTTGGAAACTCTTAAGTTTTCTATACAATAAATCAGTAAGTTATCTGTAAAACTGAGTATAATGTAAGGGAAAAATTATCAAAGTTGGCAACACTACAGCTGTCATTTTTAAGAGCTTAGAGATTCGGAATTATTCGAAAATGTGTGCGCGTAAGTGCAGAGTTATGAAAGACGAGAAATAAAATCAATATAGTAAATAACAGTAAACACTTACGGATAATTTGGAACAATCTAATTTATTCTAATCGTTAAATGTAAATTTTGATTTGAAAAATACAGTCTTCTCGTTCGTCGTTGACACAAAAAACAAGTCACAGTTGTTGGAGGTCTTTTTCTATCTATGTATAGGTATTATCTTCCTTGCAGCGCATATTCCCAGATTGTTGGCCCAGATCATATGCAACCCACTGAGCAGTCGCGGGATCCGAGTTGCTAACGACAACGGGTCTACGCTATGCGCTACTCTACAGGGAGCACAAAAAGAAGGGTGGGCGGCGCGATATATGACTGAATTGAAAATGTTGGAAACAATAAATTGTTAATACCAACATTTAATAATTATTTCGGAGCATTACTAAATTAATTAGGTAATTTTACAAAGTAGAAAGTTTAATAAGTTCTCGTTTTTACAGCAAGGCGTAATTCATACAATTTATTTAATGGGAAAATGTGTAGGTATTATTTTCGAGATATACACGAAATAATTTTAAATAATCCATCTAGTGGGTATAAGGTTCTTTATAACTAAGATGTAGGGTAATTCAATCATTATCTTATCATTCTTGTTTGGAAATAATTCATATGGATGAGTAGGTAGTATATGTCTCAGCGTTTGAATTTTAAAGTTCTTAAAACAAGCCGTTGTATTTTTTTAACGACTTCCGAGAAAGTGAATCTTGAATAAAGTTTTAATTTTTCCTATGTGATAGGGGAGAGTTGTTCAATACGGGAAAGCTAGAATTATTCGGCACATTTGACTTTGGCGATCAAAATATAAAATATAGCTAAAAGAGGATTTTTCAGTATTAATGGGGGATATTATTTTACAAATCTCTTTTTTTGGTGCAAGGACAGATCCTTGAGGTAACTCTTAAGTTGTAGATTGGTATTTTACTGGATTTAATTGTAGGTATCAATTTTTCCCCTTAAAATAAACCAGTCAACGCTATCGCGTAGGCTCCTTAACCCTTCACTGCGTGAATTTTTGTGTTTTGTTAAAAATAAATTCTGAGATAAGAATTCTAATTCAATTTTTACGTAAAAAGATTGAAAAAAACTTAGTTACGAGGAAAACTTTATGGTCAAAAAAATTTTTTTGGTGCCAAGTATGGAACATCATGCAACAATGTAATATTACAGTCAAACTATTTTGAAGCTACAGTATACATTATACAGTATGAAACTGTAAATAACAGTTTCTTTCGTTATTAATACACTACAGTATTCTGCATTTTGTGCACACTTTATATGTTTTCCCTGTAGGGGAGAAGGGGGTTACTGTGGACCATTTTTACTTATTAGCAAATTAAAAAATATGTATAAGTTCTTATTGCTGAACTTACCTCACATATTTACTGTAAACATCAACTCAACTTTCGATGTGAATATTTTATTTGTATCTTTCTTAATAGAACAAATATTTTGATTCAAATCGGAATCAATAATTTGTCCACAATGACCCCGTGGTGGGGTTAAAGTGGACAGAGTATGGGGTTATAGTGGACGCATAGTAAAACATATACAGGAATACTGAAAACTTTATGTTAACAAAAAGAAACTACGATACATTATAAGAACTGAAATTAATATTAAATGAAAATAATCTTCCTTGCCTTTTCGTGCCAGTGTCTACTGGGTGCTCCAAAATTCCGACAATATCGTTCTTGTCGACAACTGAGACATCTTCAACTTCGGGAAATACGAAATTATTCACTTTTTTCCTTAAAAAATTAATTTGTACCTCCACATCTCGAATATCTACGATTTGGCCAACATAGTGTGTTACCGATTTTTTACCCATAAATTTTACAAGTACGAAATCATTTTTCTCCATTTGTTTGTCCATAAAAATATCGTTGTCCTGACCATCATCTTCCATCCAGCCTTCATCCTCTGATTCAAGTATTACTTCTGTAGAAGAATTGGAAGAGGAAGATTCTTTCCTACTCCTTTTTGGTTCATAGGAAAGAGATTTCTTCACTCTATTCTTTTCTCGCATTTCAGCTCTTTCTTGCGCACGTCTTTCCTTCAAATCTTTAGCCTCTTTTTCAGCTTCCAACTGATCTTTCACTGGTGTGCTCGTGTAAATAGTCGACTTTTTATTTTTTCTTGCTTTGGAGTTTGATGAGCGATCTGCTTTTAGAAAAGGGCGGCAGCTCTCAGGAGTAATTACAGCTGTTGATGTAGTTGCTACTGATGGTGAAAGCGTAATGGGAGCTACAGGTAGCAGTCTTGTGGAGATTGAAGCAACTTCTAATATTCGCTCAGGATCTTCAGGATTTCTTGGGTTCATTGCTGTTGGTGGTTCTTGATTCCTATCTGTTGTTTCGGCAGCTTCATAATCCTCATCGGTGAATACAAGACGATTTATTGGCCATAAACCAGCAGATCTGAATCCAGATGATTATATTCTTCATTGTAAATGCCACAGGAAAAGCAATACCACACAGTTGAGCAACATCATATATTTGTATAGGTCTGCCTGGATGATTTTGAAGCCAGTCTCCCATTGCAACCCGTAATGCAGCTTTATAAGGACCATATACTGCAACATCTAGCGGCTGTAGTTTGTGGCTACAATGTGGCGGAAACGATAAAAGAGTAATTCCAGATTCTCTAGCTAAGTTTATAGCTTCCAAACTTATATGACTTGAATGATTATCCATTAATATCAGTAGAGGGTTTTCTTTAGAAGCACTTAAGTGCATTTTTATGTGCTTTAGTACTTCTAAAAATAATTCAGCAGTCATATAGCCAGACTGATGAGCCAGACCAATGCTCCCTATTGGTGCACCATCTAAGAACCGGTCTTTCATATTCTTCCTGGGGAATATGAAAACTGGAGGTATTGCTTGTCCAGTGGCTGTTATAATTCCGCACATTGTAACATTTTCACCGCGTTCTTGAGAGGCCACAGCTCCTATTTGTTTTTTTCCCTTTTCAGCTATACGTTTGGGTGGTGGTAAGACCGTGGGTATACCTGTCTCATCTAAATTTATTATCCTTTCTGGCCTTCCTTAAAATTTATCTAAAACTCCAATGTAATTATCAAAAAATAAATCCACGTTGGATTTGTTAAAGGCTGCATCTCGTGCTATGCTTGTATTTTCAGGTTTTCTAAGAGATAAATCACCATGTCGTTTCATAAATGAATATATCCAGTCCTTTCCTGCTATCTTATTTTTAGTCCAATTCGAAGGAATTTCTATTTGTAGAGCACTACCATACTCAAAAGCTAGGGTACAAGCCTGCTTGTAAGTCAAGCCATAATGTAATCGAGACGCCTTCTTAAGATAATTGACAATGTGTTGTTCTTGTTCATCAGAAAATATTTGGCGACCTCGAAATTTATTGACGCCAGAAACATTCAAGCTAACAATTTCTAACTCATCTTCGTTACCTGAATCATCACCAGAGGGTATATTAGCATCTTGAAGGTTCCTCTTAGCCGAAATGACTCTTTTGTGAAGCATACTTTTTTTCAATTCATATTTCTCTGCAATATTTCTCAAGCTTCCTTTTTTTCTTAGGATATCCTTTATTGCACGCTCTACAACTTTTTCATCAATATCAGCTCTCGCCGTTTTTCTACTGTAAGTCCTCATCTGAAACAAAAAAGCGATTTTTATCACATGATTTTTGGAAATATAATCATTTGTGGGTTAGTGTGGACAGCTGATGATTTGTCCACACTAACCCCGAACGCCATGTTTGACAGTAACAATGGAATGACGTTTCGAAAAATGATAATTTTATCTCATTCCATATCAAATGTAGTAATTAAATATTCCAGAAGCCATACACTAACTTAGGTATACAATTAGTTCAATAACTTCAATTTTAGTATAATTTTACTTACCGTGTGAAATAAATGGATACAACACACAAAATCACTTTCTGTCACTGGCGGCCTATTATAGAAAATCAACAACTTTTACGTGGTGTTCGGTGGCGTTAATAGTCACTTCCTGAACAGACTGGGCGGCAGATTTAAATGCGAGTTTTTAAATAATTAACTATGTCCACACTAACCCCATGTCCACACTAACCCCCCTCTCCCCTACAGCCTAGAAATTTGCATCTTGACTAGTGTTCTCATCCCAATAGGGAAAATGATCAAGCCATCTTTACATATGTCTTCTTGGGGTATTTCTTTAGTGGGTCCCTTTTTTCTTTAGTCCTGCAAAAGGGTGTAAATCAAAATTCTTCGCTCTTTTGGCTAATACCAACAGTTTACCGCTGTCATATCAATGAAATGAAAAAATATGCGTAAATAATATTTCTTCGACCTAATTTTTATACGATAATATCCTAACATGGAATCAAGGAGATATACATCTCCCATGTAGTTGTTATAGATTAGGACACTGTTAGGACA